CGTAGATTAAAAATTTGATATCATAGTAATCTTATCCTAGAATTAGTTGTATTTGTTCAATCTTAATCTGATTTATGAAACATCAATGGAAGTTTGCACTGAAAGTACAGTCATTCATTTTAATAAATAATAGAGAATTTTTTGAATGAAATTAAATAGAACTTTTTCAATGTTTTATATAGAAACAGCATATCTAACATTTCACATATTTACATTCAATAGATTATATTCATATTTTCCTTCATCGAAATTACAGAGATATGAATATTACCTAAACTGGTTGGTTTCTTTTTAAAAGACATAACTCTACGCATGACTTATAAAAATTTGTGCACCTGACTTCATACTTCACTACTAATTAATTTGCAATTATCTGGAAAAAAACAAGTCAGTAATTTGAGATACATTTTATCATTTACCTTGATCATATATAGAAAGGATATATCAAGTTTTTTTTTCTATACAAGCAATTCTGATTTAGTATATATTCAAATGAATTACCTGTGCTAATAAAGTATTAAATATATTGATAGCTTTGGTTTCTTCTTTATTCATTAGAATAAGTTGTTGTATATCTTGTCGATATTTATACATGATTTTTTCTAAAACACTTCGATGTTCAGTAACTAATTGTTTTAATTCTTCATTTTCTTTTTGTAATTGTCTAATTTATAAATAAAAGAAAAACAAATATATAGAACTATTGTGTTATTATTATTATAATTTTACTTATAACTTACTTAATCAGACGATTTTCTTTTTGAATATTATACAGAATTGCTGTTTTTGGACGATGAGAACTTATATCATTTAATTCAGCAAGATCATCACCATACTATAATGAATATAAGATATTTAAAAAAAAGTATAGAAAACAAAAATCTAAATTTCTTAAGTAGGTGTTCGCAAGAAACAAAAACAATAATTTGATAATTGATAGAGACATTTTATACGTAGAAAAACATCAGTATTTCAAAAGATAAAGTTCCTATAACTTAAC